GTCAGAGCACATATTGGATCTTGGTAGCTGGGAGGGGGATTGGGATGATTAGTGGGCTTTATGAAAGGGGGTTGTTGGTGGTGAGGGAGTAGGGGGGAGGTTATGATTGTTGGGAAATGTCCAAGGTACAGGCAACGTTTTGGAGGTATGGGGTGATCATGGAAGCATTTTCCAGTCCTGAATTCACCAAAACTTACACACTAATACCTCGCACCCACCCTCTCTCAACACAATAAACAACAGACACCCTCTCTAGAATCCCCATCTACCCACCACCAAAACTCTACTCCACCCACTCCTCCTCCGCCTTCATAGCCCTCAACAACCCATCCCCCATCGGCCTCTCCCACCCCCCAACCCTCAACCTAACCAACAACTCCATCCGACAACTCTCCGCCTGCTCCTCCGTCCACGGCAAATAACTCCACCTGCGACCCGGCCCCTGCTGCCGCGGCGCGCCCTCCTCAAAGTTCTGCAGCGCATCGACTTCGTACCCACCACGGCCGTTGAAATGCGTCCACTGGCTGGCATGCATGAAAAAGGGGGCACGGGGCTCAATGGTCAGCGCGCCGGTCGAGTGCACGACGACGACTTGGGCTTCGTGCGTGGCGGAGGGGGCGTGGTTGACGGAGTGGAATTTAACGGGGAGGTGGGTGTGGTAGGTGGAGGGGTCGAGGATGTAGCGGCCGTGGCCGAGGGGTTGGGGTTCTGGGTAGAGGGGGTAGGACGGGGGTGCTTGAGCGGTGATGTATCAGCTTGATTTTTAGGGTGAATAAAGGATTAAACCACATGCATACACACATTGTCAAGCAAAAGCAACGAAGCAAAAAAAAAACATACCAACAAAGCGCCCCTGGAGATCACACGCCCCCTCTCTAGCCAACAGCACCATCTCCGGCCCCAAAAACCCCCTCGGCACCCCATACAACCCACAATACCTATCCCAAGCCTCCCCCGTCTTAATATACACCGGCGGCGGATCCCCCACGCGCCGCATCCGCCGCGTATAGTACCTGCGGCCCCTACCAACTTGCGGCAGCGACTCGGTGACGACGTTGGGCGGGTTATGCAGGGTCCAGAAGGAGGCGGCAAAGGGGGTTTGCGGGAACCAAGAGGGGCGCCAGTGGAGGGTTGTGTTGTCGTTGAAGCTGGTGAGGAGGAGGAGGTCGTGTTGGAGGCGGTGGGGGGAGGAGGGGAAGGGCTTGTGGATGGTGATGGGGTTGGGAGGTCGTTGTGGGAGGGTGGGGTTGAGGGGGGAGGTTGTGGGGTTGGAGTCTGGGTGTGGAGGGGGGAGACTGGTGTTAGGTACTGGTGTTGGTGTTGTAGGTTCAGAGTATGGTGGTGTTGAATCCATCTCCATTGTCAGTGATGTCGTGGGCTTATCCGTCGAAACAAGTAGTTGGACTGTAGATATTATCTAGACGAGTGGAGGAGTAAGTTTAAGAACGCTCAACGGCGATTCAACTTGTAATATATCGCTGAAGCAGCTAAGCCTGTGCTCTGTCTTCACCGGTGAGTTGTGTCATAAGAGATGGGAAAAAAGCTACGGAAACCCACATATTGCGAGCGTTTGCGCCTGCCAGTTTTTTTGGTCAAAGCAAACGCCTCGGATCAGCTGCACTGCAAATCAGTATGCCGACTAGCACATGTTGATGACATTCACGCCTTCACTCAGCACTGGGAAAAGCTGTGATGAATGATTGTTGTTTTCTAATTTCGGAAAAGGCTTTCCCACGGGTATTCTATGCTACCATTACCCATGTCTACAAAAACACAATATACAATAGGTGCGAGTGTGCATACCAAGCTCGAACTACAGCCCACAATATGTGCCAGTTCAGTCATATATACATTGGAGCAACAAATCAAAACGGATCCGTCTGCCAGAAATCAAGATTCGTCGAAGCAACTTGGCCCAGGAAGGTCTCGTCGAAGCCAAAGCCATAAGAGCCTATCAGATCGTACATGTTGTAGTCGTTGGTGGGGTCGCCATTGGTAGCAGGCGCCGTGTTTAATGTGGACAGGAGGCCTGGGGTGTGTGCTGTGGAGAGGCCCTGGGCCATGATGTGGTTGGAGGTAGCAGAGGGGGTTCCGACGACGTCGAGACGCTTCAAGAGGTCGTTGATGCCGTGGACGATATGTCGCGTAATGTGTTTTTCATTGAGATTCTCAGCAACCTTTGCGAGGAAGCTTGAAGATCGTCTGGACAAGGAGAGGACTTGTGAGATGTTAAAGTTCAGACCGAGACCAATGGGCTCTGTGGCCCATTCTGGTGAATGCGCTTGGGCCATGCCGCCCCATGTCTTTGCCATTTTCAGTAAAAAGGTGGCGCAGAAAGCGACCATGGTGTGTGTGAAGATGGGTACTGCAGTCATCGCTTTGCGAAGATCTGGCTCCTCAAAGATGAGGGTGAGGGTACTTGTGGCGGCTGTGATGGCAATGTTGGCGGCCTCTCGCCGGTCGTAGGACAAGGACTCTGAAGTTGTGGCATTTGGTGCAGGCAGCGCACGGAGCGCTAGGGAGTTGAGTTGGAAGCGTGCAAAGTGATAGTAAAGCACCACGCCCTTGGATGGATAGGAGCCAATGGATGGACTATCAGCTGACCTCGACTGCCATGCTAGCCGCCATTGCTCGATTGCAAAGTTGAACTGCCGTAGTTGCTGAAAGTCCGGTTCGGTCAGCGGCTGTTCTGGGTCGCTGCCATAGGCGATGTAGGCCTCTGTGAGTATCTTGAAGAGCGTGACTTGGGCGCCTAGTCTGATATCTCCGGGTTTGGCCTTGGGACTGTCGAGAAAGTGTTCAATGTTCTTGACAGCGACATCCTCGTGAATGATTGGTGGACGCCCGTAGGCGATGCTGAATTGGTGGTCGCACACATACAAAGCATACCAAAGACGCACATTGTCCCGCTGTCCTTCGTGTCCTCGCATCAGCTTCTGGTAGGACTGATGCAGGTTCATCTCGACTGCGCTTCGTACAGCCAGACCAGAGAGCTTCCAACTGAGGTTGGAAAGATAGAAGGCCGCAAGAGCCAAGGCTCGTATGTCGTCGAGATTCTGGGGGCGTGAAAGACAGGCACCATACGTCAGCGAGACGAAGATGTTGTAGCATTTTTGCAATGCTTCATCTCGGCCTGGTGTGTGGAGAGCTGCAATGGTGAGGACGGCGGCTGTCAGAAGCTTGGAGCTTCGGCGAACTCCGTCCAGCGTGTCGTAGGGGAACAAGACGCCCGCCCAAAGGTAGAGCCGAATGTCTTGCATGTAGCGTTTGAAGAGATCCTCGGCTTCGTGGAGAGGCACAATGCCTTGAGCAATGAAGTCCTCCTCTACCGAATTTGAGTTGGGTCTCCAGCGCACACTGCTGCGGAGGTTACGGATTCGCGTGAGATCATACAGACTTCGCATGGGGGCGGTCACCAGATCCGACTCTTCACCCGATTCATGCTCGACCGAGGTTTCTCGCGTCATGTCCATGGGCGCGACGGGAACAACGAGATGGTTACTGTCGTTGGTCATATTGGTGGGACTAATGTTCACGTGGTGTCCGGAATCTGGATGGGGAGGTGACTCTTCCTTGAGACGTTCCAGGGCTGGCAGTTTGTTGTGCTGTAGGAGATATTGCACCGCTGAACGAAGCTGTTCTATTTCTGCAGTCGCGTTGGATTTCCATCTGTATTCTTGGGTTAGAAGTCAGATCTCGTCGGTCTCCTGTCGTGGTACGTACGCAGCATCCTCGTCTAGGAGACGCTGGTTCATGTTGTAGGGTACACATTCCGTGCCACTTCGCAGACATTTTGCACACTTGATCTCGTTGTCGACTGGCTCGCATTTGATCTTATGCCTTTTGCACTCAGCGCCTGTTCGATCAGCAAACTGTTTCGCTTTTTCTTTTTTTTTTCTTTTTGAGGGGGAGGTTGTCCATGCTAGCTTACAGGCCCGTATCCTCGGTGTGCGCCCAGGAGCAGCTCTACGTCCGTCTTCATGCTCGGCATCGTCACTTGGGCGCTTCAAAGGCGACATCGCGCAATGCCATGGGGTGCGTGAGCGCGACCACAGAGATGGTCGTTGCAGTGTGGAATTGGCGTCGGATGCAGCACTGGATGCAGGTGGGCAGAAGCTTGGGAAGCAATGGCTGACCCCGTGACATGAGATGCTTGGGGGGAAATTAGTGAATTGGTTAGTGCCATGGGTTACGAGCTGAGCTAGGTCAAAGCTCCGCTTTGCCCACAGCAGGACGCGAAGCGGGGACCAAGCTGCTTGATGTGCCGTGATCTGGGAAGACTGGAACCTCTTTAGCCTGTGTGTTGCCCTGCTCCGAGCACCGGGATTCGTCTTGCACGCCCGGAGATGAAGTACTGTGTATGCCTAGGTAGAGTAGACGGACAGGACCAAGACATGCAGGCGCAGGCGTCTTGTGGCGCGATGGTCCACCGGAGAGGGAGGAGGGAGGAGGGACTCTAGATGGATGGGGGGCTGTCAGTTCATTGTCTTTCGTCGACCAACATGAGCGAATGCTGTTTGCAGACACCAAAACCTTACTCGAGGCGATCCAGGCAAGGCCAACAGGCTCTGGCCTTGTAGAAAAATCAGGAGATAGCCCACGCTACGGTTACCCATGCCATGTATGGCCCTACTGAACGAGCACGAGGAATCTGGAATGTCCGAGCCGGCGTTTGAAACGGTCCGGGGCCTGGTATTGTGCCGGTGCCGGTACCGGTAATGCGGGGGATCTGTGCAAGCCCCTGGTACCCAGACATTCCCCACCATTCGGACCTTGTGGCTGGCTCCCCATCAAGTCTGAACCATGTTGATCGTGAATGGGGTTCCAGGGCATTCTGTCAGATGGTCACTGTACTGTGCTGTGGTAATTGAGTTTACGACAAGACAAACGCTTGCCAAACTTTCGTCGCATCCGACCATCCCACCCATTGTTGCAAGCTTGATATAACCCCCCATGTATGCATGGCTGTATGGCAACCTCCATGCTGCTCCAGTCTATCCAAGTCTATCGTACCGGTACAACCTCCATGCTGCTCCAGTCTATCCAAGTCTATCGTACCGCTACAACCTCCATGCTGCTCCAGTCTATCCAAGTCTATCGTACCGCTACAACCTCCATGCTGCCATCTTCCTGCTCATCCAAGTCTGTCAATCATGTCGTGCGTGCTCAGTCTTGCAACTGCCAACCAACAGGATACTCCACAGTCGAGAGGAAATGCCAGCATGGTACAGGAACATGTGAAGAGGAAAACGGCATGCTGACGACTTCGCTACCTACCGGTACTGCGACAAGCAAACTCCACCGTGTTGGCATCATCGTCTCTTGCCTCAGTCCCAACCCCCCGACCCCTCACCTGTACCTAGCAACCCCAGTCGCAGCTCTCCAACACATCTTGCAACTAACCCATCATCCTCCCCCAGTAACCCCCACGTTCCAGGCCTGAACCTCTCTTCCCCAGATTCCACCTCTCGGCTCCAGGACGTCTTTCCCTTCCAACCCTTCTCATGGATCGCACTACAACACACCCGACCCATGTCGCCATCTCGTAGCGCGTTGGCGCCGGCCTGTGGCTGAACGAACCCCGCTGCGAGATTTCACTGAAAGCGCGCAACAAAGACCCGACAACGCGCATACGCGGACATTGACCTAACACTGCCACCGACAACCGATGGTTTGCAGCTGGTACAGTAGAGGGCAGCCCCACATTGCATGGCATCGGGAAACCGGCCGGGTGGAGAGCGATGGGTTTGTTGGTAGAAAACACCAACTATTGTGGATGGAGTCTAGTCGCATTGCCCCAATCGTACGTCAACATCAGCCACACCACCAGTTCCACCGTCACATGAACCATGCAACGCTCAAGCTTCTTTCCATGCAAGCTTCTTTCCATGCAAATTTCGAGGGAAATCGCTGGCTTGGTGATGCATATCTGACTCACGGCCTTGATTCTCGCGCCTCACTGGTTCCAGACTTGATTCCTGTTGTAGAGTAGGCCGAAGACCATGACGAGATTGTGTAGCCAATGGCAAACAAGTACTGTTGACAGCGAGCGCGCGCAAACACCGACCTTGTATGGGCGGTTGAGTGGCGTGGATGGGTGGCGGATTGAGTGCAGACAAGGTCAGAGTAACGAGTTCATGGTGGTAAGCGGACATGTAAACGCCTTTGATTGTTCGTGTGAGGAGAAGAAGCCCTGCTCAAACGCCCATGCAAGATGATAACAGTAAAAATGAAGACGAATCCTGCCAGTTTTGCCCTCGATTCCCGACTGCCCCAGACCAACGCCATCCCATGCGATCCTTGTCTTCCTTCCTCCTTCTTCACTCACCCTTCTCCCTCCGGCCGCTGATTCGCACTCTGCAACGGCATGACCCTGCCCGAATCCACAATAATCTGCTCATCCACCCTCTTCTCCGTATCGCCGTATTCCAGCCTCTTCCACGTCGAAATGCGCGCTTGGTTCGTGTCAATCTCAAAGACCCTCAGTCTGCGATGATAATGGTTGTATCCGCCGTACCCGCCAAATCCACTGCCGCCAGCATAGCACATCCAGATCTCCGGGTCACCAGAGGACGGGTCCTTGGAAAGCGCACAGTAGTCATTGACGTGGTCGTGGCCGCACGAGACCGCGCTGACATCGAACTCGACGAGCGCGTCTTTGAAGTGCGTATTGAATGCCGGAGCGGTGATGGGTTCCGTCCAGTTGCCCACGCGGTCGTTGTCTGGGTTGCCGTATTCGGGGAGCGGGATGTGGATGAATGCCATGTTGAGATGCTTGTGTGTGTAATGGCTGTGCGCATCCTTTAGGCTCTCGGCGGTAGTCTTGAACCAGTTGATTTGATTGACTTTGAGCCAGTCGTAGCCACGGTAATGTGTTTCATCAGGCGAGTACGAGTGTGTGTCCAGGAAGTAAAGGGTTAGGGCCGAGTGCTTACTGCTGTGAGCCTGTATCTCAACAAAGTAGTTGCCAACGCCTTCGATAGTGTTGGGGCCAGCCTCGCTAAGAGAGTAAGGAAGAGATTCGTAGAGGCCCATTTGTGCATGGCGCGAGAGGGTGCCTTCGTCGTCATGGTTGCCGAATATGGCGGCATAGGGAATTTTGCGCTCGGCAAGGGGTTCAATGATCTTGAACATGGCCTGGGCTTACATCAGTAACAAGAGGGTTGGAAAGGAAGGACGGGCTTACACTCTGGACATCGGGTGCTGTGTCTCCATTCACCTGATCACCAGAGAGCACAACAAAGTCTGGCTTCTCATCATCAAGGACCCTCTCGACAAACTCCAAGGTTCTCGGATCCGCGTCACAGTGCCCTCCGTTGGCGTCCTTGGGCTCTGCGTCTCTACACACTCCCACTCCTGTACTGAGATGCAGGTCGGATATCTGCATAATTTTGTATTTTCCATCCTTGTTGATCTTGGGCACGGGTCTTTCGTGTTTCGGCGGCGGGCCTCGTCGTATGCTTAGTCTTGGCTCCCTGTTGTCCTTTCCAGAGTCCAAGTGCAGTGCTCCATTTTTCACCAGTTGCCAGCCAGGACGTGGCTCGGCAGCATCCGGTCCAAAGAGTGCGTCCACAGCCGTCACTGCCATCTTCGAGTCGCTTGCGTGGCGCTTCAGTGAACGCTTGATCCAGACGCCTGCCGGTCGAGACTCCCACCTCTCTGCTGCCTGTGTCTTCTCTCCCACCGAGGGATCTAGCTTCCCCGTCCGCACATCGATGACGACCTTGTCTTCCGGATCGAGCTCCTCCTCTCGCTTGCGCTTGATATGCACGTATGCGCTAGATACCCATCCTGAGCCCAGGTACAGGTCTTTCTCCACGCGATGCCACTTCTTCTGGTCGAGCATGCATTTGGAGAGCGGGTTGAGTGTCGAGCATGTCTGAATGGTGATGTCGGTGATGACGAGGCCCTCGTGGTGCAGTGGCAGGTGGTTGTGGACCGACTGAGGGAGTACGCGATAGCGGTTGTCGAGGACGAAGACGACTAGCGAGGCGACAGTGATGAGGCCGAGGAGCTGAATGCTCGTTCGCACCTGTAACAGGTGTCAGCTAGGCACGCTGGCTGGCTGGCTAGGCATGTAGGGTAAGCTATGGCACATACTATGCGGCGCGTCATGGTGGAGGCCTAGGGCAAGAGCCAAAGGTGGCGCATGAAGCCACAACTGTCACCAAGTCCAAGTCAGGTGCCGGCGACGACAGTAGTTGGGTGGAGTAGCTTGAGAGTACAGTAAGCCGCTGGTTCTCATGCCATGGTGAGCCACTTCAAGGTTAGAAGCCGTGTTGATGTTGATGGTGATGCTGCTGGCGGTGTCGGTGTCGGTGTCGGTGTCGCAGTCGTGTGAGCGTTGGGCAATGTGTAGGTAAGCTAAGAGTAGAGCAGAGTAGAATAAGAGTAAGAAGAGTACATACCTAGCTCACTTGGAACCCGTGGACTGGCCAGGTTAGGTCGTTCTCTTGGCTCCCGGACCATTGGACCTCCATCCTCCATCGTCACGCCGCTTTTGCAGGGATGGTGGCTGGTGCCACCCAACCCCTCCCTCCATCATGTCTCCAATCCATCCCAAGGATTTTTTTCTTCTGTGACTTTAGAAAATGTCCATCCTCTACATTATGGATATGGACCAAGAAGCCAATTGCACCGTTATGCCCAGATAACGGCATGTGCACACTCAGGCCTTAAGAAATCACAGCCACGCGCAGCAAAAGACTCTCTGCGACGCTACTCTACCTACCTACATGGGTTATACCTCCTCCGGTTCTTACTATTTTAGCTCTTCAAGCCTCGCTTCGCCGTGCAGAGGTGCCAGCTGCTCCGCATGTAGGTGGGTAGGATACCTACATTGGCACAGGACAGGGTCGTGATCACTATCTTTTCTGCAGCTATGCGCCATCCTCTTTGGCAACGGCTACAACATTCAGCATGCCCTAGGATACCCGCTCACAGGAACTTTACAAGCACTGCCTGCTGCTATCGCCCTTTCAAAGGTAATAATATATCTCATCCATGCTCCACTGAAAGCTCCTCACTCACATGATGATAGAGGGCGACTTTGTCATTCTCCGCCCCCGGAGAGATGATGGCAACGATGGTCTCATGTTCAGACTCGACCCTGAAAAGACCCAATCGACTCATCATGGTGCCTTCACCCACTCATCCATCATTGGCAAAGAGCCACGCCAGACAGTCCTGTCATCTAGACAAGTAGGCTACCGAGTGCACGCGCCTACGTTGGCAGAATATGTTCGCTTGTCGCGACGTCTCGTTACGCCTGTACGTCAAAGTCGTGCAAGAGACAGCCTATCGCGACCAAGCTGACGATCATCAGCTGTACCCTCACGACGCGAACTTGATAGTGTCCCTCCTTGACATCCATGTCGATCCTGCCGACCCTGGACCACCACTCGAAATCCTAGAAGCGGGCACAGGCCATGGAGCCTTGACGCTGCACCTGTCACGAGCAATACACGCTGCCAACCCGCCTCTTCCTCGAGAAACACCGGATTCCGCATCTCTGGAGGACGGGTCTGACGAAGCCGCATGCCTAGCAGAAACGAGTGTGGACTCTGCCGAAAGTGACACACTTGACGAATCTTGGAGAGCAAAACGACGAGCAGTTGTGCACACCATAGACAACGTACAGAAACATAGCCAGCACGCACAAAAAGTCGTATCGGGATTCAGGAACGGCATGTATTATCGCAACATCGATTTCCATGTAGGAGACGTCTCGGAGTGGATTGCTCAGCAGAAGGAATCAAGAAAGACGGACCAGACGTTTCTATCTCACGTCATCCTCGACCTACCAGCAGCAAACAGTCATCTTGCCAATATAATTCCGGCGTTGCATGTCAACGGGATTCTCGCCGTCTTCAATCCGAGTATCACTCAGATTGTCGACTGCGTGAAAACTGTTCGCGAACACAAAATGCCCTACCTCCTCGAGCAGGTCATTGAGCTCGGCGCAGGTACAATCCGCGAATGGGACGTACAAGTGAAACAAAAGCGGGAGTCACAGGCGGCTAAGCCCCAAAAAGAACGCCGTGTCGCCGTGTCTTCTCCAAGGCCTCTGAACGACTCTATCGAGGAATCGCTTGACACCATTGCATCGACGAAGGATGATGAATCTGTTGATCCGGAGCTTTCTCGCGCACAAGAAACTGGCAACCCTTTGGAGTCTTCGAGCAATGAATCTACGGTTACAGGAAAGGAACAAAACGGGCAAGATGATGGGCCAGCAGAGGCTATAGAATGGGTGCAAGTATGCCGTCCCAAAGCCGGCCAGAGGGTGATTGGAGGCGGGTTCCTAGCCCTCTGGAGAAAGATGGAGCGAGCTGGGTTTGAGTTTCCGAAAGAATAGTGAATACATCCAGACTTGACTGCCATACTAGATCGGGACTAGATAGCTAGATGATGATATCTCAGCCATGCAACAGTATAGTGCGTCGGTCCAAGCGTAGTTCGTTGTGCACACGAGACCCCTGCCGTCAGTGCAGCTGCGGAAGAGGCAGAATGCATGCGTGATTGGCGAGCCGGTCCCGTTGAAGTAACAACACATCGCGCGCTTTCTCAAGCTTCAAAATTCGCCAGCCACTCATCGGATAATGGTGGTGAATGAGTTGTGGTTCCCGTCTTGAAATAGCTAGTAGCGGTGAGCTGGCCGGAAGAGGGCACAATGCATTTGCTCGAAGTAGCCTCATCATTGGCCAGAGAGAGTGTGTAGCACAGACCCAGTTCGCGCGCAGCAAGAGCTATTGGAGAGCTCTCGATCGATTGATTATACCCCTCCCAGGTCATCCCACTCTCTCTCACTCTCACTCATTCACTCTTTCTTCACACACACACACCTGACAATGAGTGGCGCGGGTGAGAACCGGTATGTTGTTTTTGGAAATGCGCACAAGGTGTACCTATAGCACGACCATGTCTGACCAGGAGAGAGCAGTTGGCGGCGGCAGGGGCAAAACAATCGCCAAAACCAAGATCGCTCGTCTGGCACAAGTACGCCCACCAAAGAGGGTCCTCGGCCTCAGGCGACAACAGCATCTTCGGGAGGCGGTGCTTGGGGAGCCAAGGGCAAGCCTTCGGGGTCTGCGCCTGCTGCTTCAGCGCCAGCCCCGGCCACAGAACAGCATGTTCCCGTGCGCGACTTCAATGCGAATGAGGTCAAGGAGTTTTTGAGGAAGAGTATGTACCAAACCATCTATCTGCCGAGGAACTCGATGGGAGCGCCTGACGGGGAGAGGAACTTCTATGCGTTTACTAGCACCTAGGCTAACTGACTCGCAGAATACCTCGAAAGTACCGCAGGTACGACACTCGCTGCATCTGTACATGGATCGCGTGTTAGAACTGACATCAACTACACAGGCCAACCCTCGGTATATCACAAGGTCGAAGGAGACTCGGTGCCAAAAAGGAGCAGCGGCGCATGGGGTGCCAAAAGTAGGTTCAATTGAAGGCCTAGGCCAACAACAGATGGACTGACATGAGCAAGGCAACAACATGGCACATCTCATGCCCTCGGGCCAGTCCTTCTTCACAAACCTCAAGAAGCAGCTGGGCGGCATCGAAGCTACCAAGCCATCGTAATCAGCAAGACCGCCCTATCTATCTATATATACCCGACTTTCGTTTCAGCGGCATAAAAAAAGGCATTGCGGGAGTTCTTTTGGGGGCTACATGGTTTTCGGTTGGCTATACAGGGCTTGCGATGTTGCAACTGTTTCGCATGACGCGCAAGTGCCAAGACTAGCTGTGCCGGCGTTTACTGGAGTCATGAGCGAACATTGTTGTCTTGTTTGGGATGGCTGCTGATTGGTATGGGAATGATACCCTGGTGGCTTGTAAAGCAGCGCTCGGGGCTCAGAAGTGATGGGGCAGGATGCAATGGTATCGATGCAAGTGGACATGTAGATGAGTTGGTCTGTCTGGTTGTTGTGTAGATAGTGTCTTGGGATATAGATATGGCATTCTGCTTCATTGCATGTTCGATTCCGCAGGAGGAGCGCGATTGAAGTACTCGTACGCATAGGATAGTACGTTCACACCTACACGTTCCAAGTGCTAGCGTAGCCAGGATTCGGGAAGGCGCATTTGGCTGGCTGGGCAAAGCGTCCCAGACAACGAGATACCGGTACAACAACAAGGCTTTGGTTGTCAACAAACACGCCGTCCAATTGTGCGACATGCAATCGTCAGGCTGTATAATGGCTGCATTGAAGCGGTTGCCACTCACCCTCTTGCTTTCGCTTTCGCATTGTTAAACAACACGAGTTCCCAGCAGACTTCATCGCAACGGGACCCTGCAGTGTACGACGGTAGGTACCGGTACCAGGCCGGTAGCCAAGCCCGCAACTTCACACTTGAACCTTAAGTTACTCCCGCGGGGCTGTTGACGCTGCATCATAATCACAAAACCCCACTACACGCCTTTCACCGGAAGCCTGTATCAGCCTGACTGTCTCACGAGCCTTGGAAGGTGGGAAAGGAGAGCAGGTCACAGATCGTCAGCCGCTGTGAGCTGTGGGCAATCAGGGCGCATCGCTCCACTGTGTCAAATCACCCCCGGCGGACCCCCGAATACATTATACAACACCACAAGCCGGTCACCCTTCAACAACTCCACGCTGCATAATCCTCGCCATCCTTTCTACTGTACCAAGGTCCCCGCCCGCCCAGCCACATCATGTCGTCGCCTCCGCAAACGCCAACCCACCGGCCGACATCGTCTCACCGCCGACAGCCCTCCAGCCTCGAGATAGCGTACAACAGCCCCTCACGGCGGCAGTCGCTGAATCGCCGCTCCTCGGGTTACTCTCCCATTACACCGCGCTCCTCACAAGACTTTGAAAACGGCAGCCCTGTGCAGCACTTTGATGGCGCAGGAGACAGTAATGGCCTAGGCAATCTGGCAGACGAGCTGGGGGAGATATGGGACGACGACGAGGAACCAATGGATGGCGAGTTTGGAGAAGAGTTGGATGTTGCGCAAGAAGATGACGTCTCGGCCATTGGGACTGCAGTTGAACACGACGGATCATACGGACTCGACAGCCCGGTCAACGTCAATGGCGTGCGAGACAGCGGCGTCGCCATGCAGAGCTCTTCGCCGTCGCGACTCAGTCCAGCGTCAGCAATGAAAAGAAGAAACCACAACAGACAACGCTCGTTGTATGATGGGTCCGATTATGGAGAGGACTCGGATCTGGAAAACGAAGGCATATCACACACGCTAGACATGAGGATGTCGGCTATTGAGAGTTTAGTACGGAGAGGAACAGAGGAGAATGGCAGCGCGTCTGACCAGGTGGTGAAGAGGGTCATCGAGCAATTACGGGACCTGGGTAGTCAGATGGCTATTGAGAATGGAGCCACGCGGTACGTTCGCAACTGCCGGTTACAGGCCCGTTGGTAGGAGTGCTAACAGATCCCAGGCTGAAAACCGCTCACGATGCGCTGACAACACATCTAACACACCAGTCTCGTACCCTCACGTCTCTTGCTGCAGCCTTGTCCGGCCCACGTCCCATCATCCCCGACCTCGACACAATCGAGGAACTCCTCCCACTCATAGACTCCACCCTCGAGCTCCTCCCCCACGCCTCCCCCGATCCATTAGTCCAACTCTCGCATCTCACAAACTCGAACCGGGAACTACTCCAACACCTCGCCAACGTGAGCGACACCCTTCACATGTCACGGCAAATCACCACAAACGCGACCCGACGACTCAAAGTCAGCAAGGAACACCTACAGGACTGGAAACGCGAAAATGAGAAGACACAAGAAGGGCAAAACTATCTCGAGCACGGCGACTGGGACCGCCGGTTGAGAGAGCGCGAGGCAAAGCGGGCGTGCGATAATGTCTTGGATGGATTCGAAGATGTCTGTGGGCAGTGGAGAAAGAGACTCTGTGAGGGGTTGGGCGTGGCTAGTGCGTAGTAGGCATTCTGCACTGCACTCTTTCTCTTTGCTCCATGGCTATCTGTATGGGTATTGGTGTTGGTGTTGGTGCTGAGCCTGAGCTGAGCTAACACGCTGATTGTGGGTGCAGATGGCGGCTTCATCATCCCAGAGCAACATAGTCTCCGACCCCCATCACACCCTTCTACCGTCCCCCCTACCTACCACAACGCGCCCTCGGAACACAAACACACACTCTTACTCTCCCTTTCCCTCCTCACAGTAAACGATCGGAATCCTCACCTTTGCAGACGCACGAGCACAGACTCTATGTTTCCTTCCCCGTCCGGATGATTAGGATTCCCCCACCATCACCACCACCACCACTCGCGAGCTTCTTCAGCCCTGGCGTCCCTGAACAAGCGATTGCTTCTTTATCTTTTTGGGCGGGGGGTGTCTTGTGTTATGTACACGCAACAGCAGCAGATTACAGATATATACATGCCTTTTTTTCCTTTTCGTTCCATCTTTCCTTTTTGGGGGGTTTATTTTTCGGTGCTTTTACTAGTTTAGTTCACTCGACTCTGGTTTTCTTCTCTTTGTTAGCCCTAGCCCCTTTGCGTTTTTGTTTTCTTTTGGCCGTTTGGGTTTGGCAAGCGGCATGTCATAGGTTGCGGGATGGCTTTGGTCATGGTCATGGCCATGGCCTGGATATGGATATGGAGAGGATGGCAATTTGTAATGGGATAGATGGGTTTTGGGCTGCATTTGCGTTTAGTTTTGATGGTGGTGTTGCCTGCGCACCATGTGCCACTTCCTACCCCCCCCCCCCC